TAAGCTCAGGCTAACCAAGTCATTGTTCAATCACCTCTTCTTCTCTCAAGCCAGCCAGCGACAGCGGACGCGCCGTCACATTTGGTAGCACTTGTTGGTTGAAGGACACCCCGTTTTCAGCAGAAGGAAATGGTCAAGCAGCGCGCAGCAGCCTCAGGAAGAAGGCTGCCCAGAAGAAGAAGCCGCCCCGGAGAAGGCCGCCCAAGGAAGGAAGTACCCGACGCGAGACGGTCGGAAGGATGTCGAAGGACGACGTCAAGATGGAGGGTGGATATCCACCGCTCCCCACGGACACGATGGAAGTGCTGTCCACCATGGCGAGGGTCCTCGAGAAGATCTCGGACAAGGTGACAACGAAGCAGCGACACCGCCTCAACCACGTCCAACCGATCGCGTACAGCGGCGCGATCAAGGAGGACATCATGCTCCACTACCAGCAACTGGAACTACGCTGGTCGGCCGAGAACATCGACTCGTCCGACCCGGACAATTTCAAGATGTGTCTGGCCCAGCTCATCTCCACGTTCACCGGCCCGGCCGCAGCGTGGGCGCATACCCAGTTTACGGATGGGAAGAACCCGTTCAGCACGCTTCACGAGCTGCTGGCGGCAGCGCGCCTCGAGTTTGAGCCGGCCGACATTCAAGAGCGACTCCGTGACGACTTGAACTCCCTCCGCCAAGGCAACTGTGCGGGTGGGTTGAACGAGTACGTCCAACGGTTCCGCGAGATCATGGCGCGGGTGATCAACATGTCGGAGATGGACAAGATCATGTTTTTCATCCGTGGCCTCAAGTCGCAAACGAAGAAGGAGCTAATCTACCGCGAGATCGGCTCGCTCTCCGCCGCCATGTCGCTCTCGCACCGTTTTGAACGCGCATATTTTAGTGACGAGCGTCATGAGCGCAACGACCGTCGCGATCGTAGCCGCGAGCGTGGCGACCACCGTGGTCGTCATGACCGCCGCGATCGTCGTGATCAAGACCGCCAAGGACAAGGCCAAGCTGCGCCGCGGCAGGGACGCCGCGAAGAGCGCCGTGGCCCGTCCCAAGCCAGCGGGAAGGTCAACTTCAACGACCATGCCCACAAGAACAAGTTGTGCTTCAACTGCCACGGCTCCGGCCATCGCGCAGACGAGTGCCCCGAGCCGAAGCGCAGCGACAACCAGCGCCCGAAGCATCATCGCGTGCGTACCAACCGCATCGTGGTGACGGAAGGGTCTGATGACATGAGTGAAGTCCCGGTGTTGTCGATCCGAGCGACGCCGATCCACGTGCGTCAAGGACCAACACTCCCGACGTCCAACTCTTTCGACGTCCTCCAAGTCGACGAGAACGACGAAGGGGAGGATGACGTCGAGCAAGTCGAGCGTTCCTGGTTGGACGAGCTCACCGTGCTCTCGTGCTGGGACATGGAGGACGACGCCAGCGATGTCGCAAAGACCGATGGCTACGAGACGCTCTCGGATGATGACTCGGAAACGCAGTCCGACGTCGCTGAGCAAGAGCTCTTCGACGTTTTGTGGGCTTTTGAAGACCTACTCGACATGGACCTGGTCGAGGTGCTCTGTGTCAACATGCGGTTTGATGAAGACGCGGCCTGGAAGGTAGTCGAGAACTTGCGATTCCTCCAACAAGGCTCCGACTACTTGTTCTTCAAGCCGCTGCCCGAAGCTGAGCCGCCCAAGCCGTTGCCCGAACCCGAGGTCGAGCCGCTCGAGTCACTTGATGCGGCCTCGACGATGACCCAGGTGCGGGTCAACACACTTGCCAAGTCGCGTGACGTCGCCGATCAAGAGCTCATGATCCTCAACGGCAAGATCAACGGCCGTGACGCCCGCATCTTTCTCGATTGCGGTGCGACGAGCCAACTGATCCGCGACACGCTTGGTGGTATGATTGTCGGGACGCTGCCCGTGTCTGTCGAAGGATTCAACAGCAGCGTCAAGAAGCAGGTCAACAAGTACGCCGTCGACGTCGAGATTTGCAACCACTCGTTCCCGCAGCTCGAGATGATTGCGTGGGACTTTGCCGACAAAGACTACGACTGCATTTTGGGTCAACCGTGGTTCTTCAAGTACAACCCGACGATCGACTGGCGCACTCGCACGATTACGGCTCTCGACCCCGAGCCGCCGGGGCGTCGCGTACGTCCTGGACGCGAGTCGCCGCGCCCAACCAAGAACACCTACTCGGTCCGCCTCGCCAGTCGACGCGCACGCCGAAGAAGGGTGTCTCATCGAGGTGTTGGCCGCCGAGCTCGTCGATTCGCCGCCCCAAACGCTACCGCAAGCGATCACCGACTTGCTCGAGGAGTTTTCCGACGTCTTCCCGAACGAGTTGCCGGACGGCCTGCCGCCGTCACGCTCGGTCAATTTTTCGGTGACCATGAAGCCAGGAGCCAAGCCCAAGTCCCAACTCTACGGGTTCCGCCTCTCGCCCATGGAAGAGAAGCTGCTCGACGACTTTGTGG